ATATATTTTAAGACCGTCACAAAGGAGAATATTCTTTGCTGAAGATAACCATTACTTAAAGGAAGAAGAGTACAAGTGTAGAATGACATTTTTCTGCGTGTAACGACATTGCGAGAGAGCGTCCGATTCCTCACACTTTTCACGAGCGAAACGTCCGCGAGCATAATATCGTCGTGGCAGCTATTACGGGGGAAAAAATAATCAATAAGCGCCGTGTGACTGGGGGTGAAGTGGCATTTATGAACTCCGCGAATTCTCGACACGTGCGCGCGCGGGGAACTTTTGTACGCTCCGAGTTTTCCGCCCCATACGTGCCGCAACATCACGGAAATTTTTGTCTCGCGAATCTTCTCGACTTCGGCGCGTGCCCGTGAATTTCCCGTACGTATAGCTATATAATCAGAGAATATCATACGCGGAGATTCGCGATCGCTCCCTCGACAGAGAATTGCGACGCGCTGCACTCTATATCGTCTCCTGATCCAAAAGATCGCACGGTCTCTCCTCCTCTCGCAACGAATGGAAGGGAAAAGGAAACAAAACGGTAAAACAGAGCGATAAATAACGACGCTAAGTATCTAGGCGCGTCCTTGCTTCTGCAATTACTACTTGCAACGGTAAGCGCGGGTGTTGCGAAGCGCGCCAAGAAAACGATCTCACTCTTTCGCTCCCGCTCGCTCACTCGAGAGTGCAACGCAACGTTTTTCCAAACGAGAAGGCACGAGGTTTTCGTGGCCGGGCAATAATGCGATCGCGTCGGAGGCGGAGCGGCGCTGATGCGTCTGGACGGCAACCCGCCCATTAAACACGAACCTGCCTGCGAAGAGGTAACAAACCCGGCGGGAGAACCACAGTTGTCTCCTCTCTAAATCCTTTCTAAAAACGACAATTCGGATGGGGGCATAAATTCGTGTGCACTTAACGCCAGTCAACCGCTGCGTCGCGATATGAAAATCCAATAACAACAATTACCGTGGTTTGCCGAGTGTATACAGCGACCGGCACATCAGAGATTCTTCTCTTGGGACGGAATCGGCCGGTGATGTGGGCATTTTTAACAATCTCACGACAAATCCGTACAAAGCGGCACCATTCGTGAAACGTCAAATAACCACCGACTGCCCGTCAGACGTAATACGTCTCTGACAATTGCAAAGTGAAATTCGACGAGAAGGAGACTGCGACGATTGAACGATCAAGCCTGACGACCTACTTTCTTACACAAAATCATTCGTTCCTCTTGATGTCCACGATTTTTTCAATTCGACACTGCTCAAATGGGACCGTCAGTGTAACAGCGAATGCTGTCACTTCTTTTGCCACGAAATAATCAGCAAAAATTATAACATCACATAACCCTGTCGTTAACAGATCTCTTGAACAATTTCACAAGCGACAATATTACTCCTTCAAATTCTAATTCCGAACATTTTTATTGTTTTGGTCTTTAAATACAAACATTTAAACTTTCAATATAATACAGAGAAGACCGGGGCTATTTGACTACCATTTTTGTCATGTTCAAAAATCTTACTTGCTTAATTTTGTTTTGCCAACTTATGCAGGTAGCCAACTAACTCCAGCCTCTTCTATGTATACACTGTAAAAAATCTTGCGTACACAGTACGTAAACAAATGTTCCGAAAAGTCTATTCTAAATTTTGTGTCGAAAATAGCTCATTCTTTATGTTCATGCGTGTGTTATTTATACTATGTACTAGTCTATACATAATGCACGGAAAAAAAGATTTGGTTGAGTTAACCAAATATCTGGTCGAATACGAACGATCCATAAATTCCGATTGAAGTAACCCGAATTCTGTTTAAGTTAACAAGATTTTTGGTAGATTAATCAAACATGTGTGGTTATTTAATCAGACATGTCTAACTAAATAATGACATGTTTAATTAGTCTACCAAAAATCTTGTTACAGAATACTTAAACAGAATTCAGGTTACTTCAATCGGAATTTCTGGATCGTTCATATTCAACCAGATATTTGGTTAATTCAACCAAATCTTTTTTCCATATGTAAATAACACACGAATGAACATATGAATGAGTTATTTTCGACACAAAATTTAGAGTGCACTTTTTGGAACATTTGTTTACGTACTGTGTACGCAAGATTTTTTACAGTGTACATATATATACACATATATTGAGTATATATGTATATTCTATGTTAAAAGTTTAAATATTCGTATTTAAAGAGCAAAGCAACAAAAATATCCAGAGTTAAGTACCAGTGTTATTATTGTCCGAAGAGGCAGGGGAGACATTAGTACTTCTATCTTACACGATCAAGAAGATACAAAAATTTCGAGACTCATCGAATTCAATCAGCGATGATAAAGCGACGTATCGGGAGCATCGAAAGCATATATTGCGTAATCAATTATCGACACGTCCGAGGAAGACTAACGGCCTTTAAATAATTCATCCGGAGACCTCGAGGATGGATCGAAGGCCGTTCGGGATCACATGCAAATCGGATTCATTAGCGTTAAGCCAGACGGGGGTGGAAAGTAGAGCCGCCCGTACGACCCCTCGACGTAAACACTGCCGGCACTGCGTCAACCTCTGCTCCCGAGGGCTGTTATTGCGCGGTTACACCAACCCCTACTGACATTCGTCTCTTTCGCGAGTACATTTGAACTTGTGCTCGTGCTCCTCGTATCTCGACCACCACTTCGTTTCACTCTCAAGCGCGGAAATATTTGAGGACGCCCAGAAAAGTTACGTCGCGTTGTATTTGTAGCTGTTGTGTTACAGCAAAGATACACTCAGAAAAAAATACATGACAGGGTCAACTGTACTATAAGTTGCAACTATACAGGTTCTCTATGTAGAATCAACGTATGTAGTTCAGTAAACTATATATAGAGCAAGAATCACCTAATATTAAATTCTGAAATATCTCTGTTACATTAGAAGAAAATATGTGAGAAATAAATTGCGTCATTGGAAAGAATAAATATTGTAATTAATCAACTCTACCGACCACACACAATTTATTCCTTATATATTTTCTTCTAATGAAACTACTGAGATACTTTAGGATCTAATGATAAGGACGATCCTGTATAGAGTTCTCTATATAGTTCTTTTAAACATTATAAGCTTCAATTGCATTACCTACAAAATATCTCATTAAGCTATGTACATTGATTCTATATACAAAACTCGTACAATTGTTAGCAATATAATTGCCATTTAATTGCCATTTAATTGCCATCATATATTTTTCTATGATGAGTGTAGAATATTCGATAGAAATCCTGACTAACTTATTTTAACACATTTAAAAAAGCTTAAAATTTTAGCACGGAATACTTCTGTTTGTAATTTTATGCATCGTATAATAAAAAAAATATTTGAAAATTTATAAATATATGTATTCACGTACACAAATTGCGTTTATAAATTTTAATTTAAAAAGAGAAAGAGAGAGAATTATATTTCCACAAATAAAATTCTGTTGTGAATTGCAGTTCGCCTAAATTCTCAAAGGGTCAAAAACCGTTCTGCTACTATTATAACAGCGATCGAAAACAATGATCGGGCGTAAACACTTCTGAATTGGGATCAGTTCGGAACTTTTCCCTAGGGCGGATCACGGGAGCACGAGGATGTACCCTCGAGATTACAGAGATTACGCGGAGATTGAATCACTTCCCAGCTACCCCGTGCGAATGCCTAAATGTGTCTCCGGCACAAGCTGTCCCTTAATCATCGTGTCTTTACCAGAGGTCGTTATCACGCTTTCGATCCGAAGTTATACGCTCCGAGTTCCGAATTGTATATCATCAGAAAGTGCTCGTTATCACACAATACGCACGATCATCGCGTTACTCGTGTGTGTTACACAGTTATACCTTTCGTCTTCTCAAAAATGAAATATCAATGATCGTTGTGCTCAAAACAATCGACGTGGCAGCATCGCGATATACCGAGAGAGAGAGAAATGTCCATGTTAATATTATATACTAACGGAGTACGAATAAATTTATCGCGACAGAAAGGAAATTTAGGAACAGAGCTAAGATGGGGTGATAGCCGCAAATAAAAAGAAATTCGGGAGTGGCCGAAGTTTCTCCTCTCCCCACTCCCCCCCCCCCCCCC